TCCTTTCTTCACCGCGTTTTCTAAAACCCTTGCTCCTTTAAAGGGGGGGAACCCAAACCCCCCAGAATTCCCCGGCGGCTGGGGGGATTCTGGGGAGTTAAAGTCCACCCATCTTAAAGCGGCCAAGGTTGAAAAACACTGCTCTAATGCGAACCCCCAGATACAATAAAACAGGGAAATACATTTTTGGGGGTGCACCCCATGCAGATTTTAACAGACACGCCAGCCTTCACATCTACGTGGGCTCAGCGACACGGCCATCCCAGATCTCGCAAAGGCGGATCTCATGCTTGGGCACAAACCATAAACTACATCCTAGTCCTCACCGTGGCTGCAATATCCCTCGGAGTCTGGCAGATTGGCAGAGGCTACGGTGGGGGCCTTCATAAGCGGTGGAGGGGGAACTCTCCCATCTGAATCCAGGCCACGTTGGAATACCCTAAGAAGCCAAAGGAGGAGAGCAGCAGAAGAAAATGGAGAAAGGACCAAACCCAAGCTTTAAATGGGGGTTGTCCAGAACAGGCCTGGATCCATGATATCTTTCACTCAAGCAGGAGAAAACAATGTCACATCCAGGGTCAAGACCATAGAAGAAATTAGATTCCAAAACCATCCTGACTCCAGGACTTAGGTGGTCCCATTGCTGGGGGTAACACCACCCCACACTCTGGCTGCCTTCTTCTTCCTTGGTAAGCTGTTTAACCCCCCCTGAACCATTGAAAGCTATTGAACCCTCCCCCCCAAAACTATTTGGAGGAAGAGCCAGCAGGCTACCTACAATTTGCCATCAGCCTTTTTCTCTGGATCTTCAGAGGCAAGGATGAAATACGATTTCTGCTTGGGGAAGCCTCGGATCAGCTCCAGGTCAGAAATCAGATCCAAGACATAGTCGTGGCCAGCCAGCTCGGCCCACTGGGTGCTGTCCTTCATGGTGACAGACCAGCCTCGCCATCCATCTGTAAGACCCCTGGAAAGGAGCACTGGAGCTTAGCCCCTGTGGGTTCTCTTGGGAGGAGAGGAGGCCCACACTGGGAAGCAGGACTCTGTTTCGGGCTGGAGGTGGCTGAGACAACATCTCCAGGGAGCTTCCGAACAGCTCCTTGCCTGACTTCCAGTGCTGATGGGCAGCTTCCCCACCTGGCTTGGAGAGCTGGAAAGGGGCACTGAAATGCAGCCCACCCCCATCCCTCCTCCCACCACCTATATCCCCCACTCCCCATCTCTTCTACCTGTATTTCAATACGCTTTCAGCAAGGCCTTCCCCTGTGGTCCAGGAATGGACAGGGCAAGAAAAATGATCTCCTGTTGAAACAAAATTCAAGTCATTTGCTCTGATGGATGCTCCTCCTGGTGCCTTATGGATCTGAACTCAGTTTCCTGCAAGTGGAAAACTAATTCCTTAGCAATACAGCTTTGGGCCTTCCTCTTCCTGCTGTGGGTCTTTCTCTAGCACGCTCCCGGCACAGCTTGGAACATCTGCCTATTGATTCCCAACCCGCCCATTTGTTTCTCTTAACTCACCATTGAAGCAGTAGACATCGAGGGCCATGTTCACACGGTCACGGCTGGCAATCCACTCCAGTAGGGTGGGTGGATAGGCTCGGGCGGCCTCTGTGCCATCCTGACCCATGGCCATTGCTTGCATGACCTTGTGTTGGCAGACAGGTTTATAGCCATCAAAGGCATAGTCGGAAACAAACCTGTGGGGGAGGGGTGCAGAGGGAGACAGTGAATAAAAGAAGATGCCAGCCATGGAGCAAGCTTGGCACTCACTCTCAGAATAGATGAGTGAGGTTCAGCTGAGCTGTGTTAATCTCTCTCCTGGCCAGGAGCTTCAGGCCAAATGGTGGAGCTCTTTTTAAAATTCTCCATGTGGCCCTAGGAGGAAGATGAAAAGCCCGGCTACCATCACCCAGTGCTCCTGCCATCTTCCACGGCCACCATCATCCCCAGCTAAGTTCTCCAGGCCAGTGGGAGAAAGGCAGGGTCAAATAATGAGGATTTGGCACCCTGAATTTTAGCAGGAAGGGAACTTGCATGGCCTTGCAACCCGCAATGGTTCATTATTGAGAGATGATATTATACAATGGTGTCCTGAATTTTGTATGTAATATTCCATGTTATATTCTTTTAAAATATTTCAGCAGGAATGAAATATTTGGCTTTGGAAATGGTTGTGCAGAGATGAGGGGGCTCGTGGTAGGGCAAAGGAGGAGCGAATGACAAATGCATGATGACAACATCTCCCAAACTCCACCATGACATGCCAGCATCAGACATTGAATCACAAGTGCATAAAGGTGGCATTGATGTGATGTCACACACTTATGTTGGCCTTTTGGTGCTGAAGCTGCTAGGGGAATGGGTGGGTTTCAGGTTTTTTGGCTACTTTGACAGTTGCTTTGTTAAACCTGCTGAACCAAATTGTTTTAAGGATTCATCTGAGCCAAAGTGAAGCAATTGTGTTCCTTTCCCACTGCCCCAGTCCCTTCAGGGAACAGGGGCTCCTTTGCTGGGGCACTTGCCACATGGAATCATGTGCTCAGACTCCTGGGTTGAAGTGGTGCTCCAGAAAGCAGCCACCCACTTTGTGTCTCCTTTGGAGGTACACCTGACCTCACTCACTTCAGCAGGTACTTATCCAGCTGAGGGGAAGGCACAAAAGCGCTGACGCACGAGGCCAACAGGAGCCACCCCCGTTCTTCATTGTGGACATTGGTGTTCCGCCACACTTGATTAGCAATCTGGGCCAGGATCTCATCCTGCAGGTTTGGCATGGAGAGCCCCTTCTGTACAATATAGTTCCCAAACAGGTTCTCCTGGATGCCATTGAGCTGGGCATCACCCATAAAGCGAAGGATCTGCCACAGAGAAAATGCAGAGAGTGACCAAAACCCCCCCCCACCCCTAACGCCATGTTGATGGCCATCCTTTGACCAGCAGGAGGAGTAAGTTCACCTTCACCTACCAGCTTGAAGAGACTAAGTGCTTCAGGGGCCAGACTCTCATCTAACTGAGTCAGGGGGGATGACAGGGTCCTTGTGAGCATCCCAAAAAATGGCTCCTGTGGGATGACAGAGAGGTGACTGTCCATTCACACAACCTTTCTGGCAAAGACAGATGGTGGAGGTCCTACCCATAGCAAGAAAGATGAAGGTTTCAAAAGTCACACAACCCCACAAATACGATTTGGGTTCAGTTCAGCGTACAATTACTTTATGGATCATCAAACAAATCAGTCCAGAGTTCTCTCTTGAGGCATAAACAACCAAGCTGAAATTATATTTTGGAGGCACTATATCAACATCCAGCTCTCTCTAGAAGATTCTGGGAAAGGTGGAAGGAAACAGAAGAAGAAGACAACCAGCAGCAAGGTGGGTGGACTCTATTACAATGCCTATGGGTGCACTGTTGGAAGACCTGAAGGACCAGGTTGGGGAGAGATCATCCTGGAGAATGTCTATATATGGTCAATAAGAGTTGACACTGACATATGGCATATAATCAATCAATCAATCAATCAATCAATCGTTCATTATTCTGGTGACTGAATCATACCAATTGTTAAACAAAGTAAGTATGTAAGGAAGCATGAATCTAGTCATGGTGGCTCGTAAACCAGTGTACATGGCTTAATATGTTGTGTGCTTCTAGTCAACTTTGATTTCCAAAGGGGCCTAGTGGCTTGCTGAATAAGCCATGTTTTAAACACAATCCATGGCTAAATGCAGTGTGTAAACTCAACCCAAAATGTCAGCTTTTGGTCTACCTCCCAACGATGGTGTGAGTGAAGCACCTTCACATCATACAGCCCAGCACTGGATTCCCTGCTTGTTACACTTACCTTGAAATGGAGCTGCACGTACTTGGCCATGGGGTAATTGTTGATGTCAAGAGGCAGAGTGAGCTGGGATCTGGCCTGCATCTTGGGTGGAGGGACAGGAATGACACAGTCCTCATTCACTTGCTTGTGAACTACAAGGAACAGGAAAGGAGCAGCCAGTGCAGAGGGCAAAGGAGGGGTCCCCCATCCTAACCACTTGCGTTCACTCATGAGAATGCAAGAGAACTTTGGCTGGACCAGGTCAAATGGGCAATAGGTTCTGTTTAATGCCAAATCTAGTATTTCCTTTCTGGGACCCAGAATCCAAGCGGCAGCTCCAACGAGGCACATTCTTTTTTCGCCTTTTGAAGCAGTGCCTACAGAGCACCATACCTTGCCGAGCACGCAGGTATAGTCCAACAGGAAAGGGCTACAGCCATAAGCAAACAGTTCAACATCTGGTGCCTTCTGACTGCCAAGATGTTGGTGTCCACTCATGCTTGCCACTGGTGGTACAGATGAGGAATTAACTTCCTTATTGAAAACGTCATCATAGGGGGACCTCAAAGATCTGGTTCCTAAAATCCTTGGAGATGATTAAAGGCCAGAAATTCCCTCAGAGAGGATTCCCAGTGGATCATGACCTACCAGCCACTGTGTTTAAGAGTCCAACCAGTTCGGCAGGGATTTCCAAGTGTGAGACTTTCATCACTTCTCGCTGACTCAGTTCCTAGTGGAACCCAGAGAAATGGGTCACCTCTAATTATCATAATGACGGTCTCCTTTCTAGTCCGTTACTCAAATTCATCTTGCTAGGATTACAGGGACTCCATATCTCCAGGATATGTCTGGAACTGGACACTCTGGACACCAATTTCATTTTCATTCCCTCTCTGCAGGACTCCATGGGAACTCCATGAGAGCTGTGATCATGGAACTACTATCCAAATGACACCACTTGGAATTCTTCTGTACCCACGACAGATGAACCCCTAAGAAAACCTTCTAAATTAACTGAAGCATTCCATCCCCAAACTCTTCCTGTCTTAGGATACAGCTTCCTGACAACCTGGCTTTCTCTTAAAAACACCACCACCACTAGACCTTATGGATACCAAAGAAAATCTACCTACCTTCCTACCTACCTACCTCTATCTATCAATCATCCATCTGGCAAAGTGCTTGAAGGCACTCCTTTGAAAAGCGATCAGAATTTTAAAAACCAGATTGAAACTGAAGAACAATTCCACAATTTTGCAAAGTTCCCTGCTCTTTCTCCAGCAGCTCAGCTGTGATGCGTTATGCAAAGTTGCTCCATTTGCATATGCAAGTTACCAAAGTCATTTTTTCTGCAGCGCAAGTTCTCCCTAAAAGTATTTAAACTGTGTGGGTTTGCCTTGGGAGTGTATGCAAGTTCAGGATCTTCTTCAACCTGACCACCCACCCAGGCCACCCCAAAGCCCCAGAGAATTACCTGCTCAGCCTCTCTCTTCTCCTGTTCTGCAATTTGACGCTCCTCGTCCTTCCTCTGAAAGCAGAGTGAGATTTCCACAGTCAGAGAAGCTTTGCACCCCATCAACAGAATTCTGTCTCAAAGATGATCCAGGATACTTTGCTCCAATCCTGAATCAGAAAGCCCACATATTACGACAAAAGAGAAAATGCAGCATGTTCAAAGACACCTTTGAGTGAAGGCTGACTCTTAGACATGGCATCCATGTTGTTTTCTTGGCAGCTTTAAGGAAAACTACACCGTGAACCTTAAGACATCTGCTTCAGGGCAAATGCTGTCACCGTGAAACATCCATTCCTTTCAAAAACCTGCTTCCAAGAGACCCCAAGCGGGTTTGGATCTCTGCATGCCAGAGACCAATTCCCAACATCTCCAGGTACAATGAAGATGTTCATGCACCAAACAGGAGCACTGACTTGGACTCCTGACTGTTCAGAAGGCAATCGAATATGTTATTCCAGAGCCCCTGAGGGCAGGACAGAGCAAATGGTTTTGATGGAAAAGGCCCCAACCCATTTTGGGTTACCAATAGCAGAATGGGGCAGGTGTGGAGAAGGAGGAATGACCACTGGCCCATTCTTGGGTGCGTCAATATCACGGCCATAATTTAGAGTGTTTAGACCCCTGACAGGTACACGTTTCTGTGGCTGTTGAATCTAGGACCCTCCAGACATCGGACAGGTTAGCTTCCATTGTCTTCAGGCTGGGAGACTTGGCAATAGAAGCCCATCTGATCTGGAGAATACCAGGTTGGTGAAGGCTACAAATACTGAGGTCCAAGTTGCTCTCCTCAGAGGAAAATCAAACGGAATCAAACTGCATGTCCCTCCTTGTTTAAACTGGGTGGGTCTGAGTGCTGGGAAGTCTGCAGTGGCTGGGCTGGCATTGTTGGCCTGAGAGAAGAAGGAACTTCCATATCAGTAGGCAGGAACAAGGGAGCAGAGCTTTGGCGTTTACCAAGCCAGATGCTGGCTTCCCCATCTGCTCTGTTTGGCCACTGCTCTGAGGCGTCCAGCAGCTCTTCCTGAAGAAGCCAGGGATCAAAAATGGCACCTTCCTCTCAGAAAGGAAGGGCTGATGGCATTGCAATCTTTTCCCATCTCACTGCCAAAGTCTGGGAAGTTCTCTGCGGCTCCACAAAGACCCAGGATTCCTCCCCAGGCGGACACTAAGCTTCAAAGGGTGTGTCTCTGCGAGCTATTTCCTAAGGTCTCTCTTAACAAAGGATGAGCATCGAAACTGACCTGTCAAAACTCCTGCTCCCCAACCTGCAACAATGAACGAAAGGCCTTCCGTGGCTCCTGTTCATAGAAACTCATCCTGCTCTGCACCCAACCCCAGCCCGGCTGTTACTCACTGCCTCTCTGGCCCCATCCAGCTGGAACCGGACAGTCTTCATGGTGGTGTCCGTTTGGGGCCAATGTCTGCGGAAGATGATCTTGCCAGGCAGCTGCTCAGGTTACCACTGTGGGCTGATGGACTGGGCTGAACCAGGCTTTAACCCTTCCTTTGCAGCAACTTTCTTGCCTCTGGAGAGAGCCTGCTGTGGCTTTGCAAATCAGCCCATTGCAACGGGCTCTTCCAGCACCTCTCCTCTTTGCCACATTTAAAGGGTAGCTTCCCGAACAAGGAACAGTCACTTCACGCTCCTCGTGTGCTGCTCTGCCCACGGACAGCGTGAGAGAAGCGAACTCAGCCCCAGCTTCTTTAGAGGAAGGGACGCTGAGGTCGGATTCTTCCCCAGCGGGTGGAATCTCCTACCACAAAAATCTGAGACTGAGTGGTCCAAAGAGATGCGTTCTGTATGTCTTAAGGAATCCCACTGTGGCATATGGAGCCCCCCCCCCCCCCCCCCC